GTCCTACAGATTTCACTAATCATAAGGGGATGTTTATTGTTACATATGGTGGCTTTGGAAGCATTCTTTCTTGACTGTTCCATTTCTTAATCATGCACTAATAAATTCTTTCCGATCTCCATTTGGATATGTAACAGGAATCTCAAACTGAACGTGTTGTGGTAGGCTGGATTACGGCCTCCAAAAGATATTAGGCCATAATCCCAGGAACCTATAAATGTTACTTTATAAAGAAAGGAGGCCTTTGCAGATACAATGAGGATCTTGACACAGATTATCCTGGATTATCTGAGTAGTCCCTCACCCCGATCACAAGTGTCCTTACAAAAGAGAGGCAGGGGGAGATTTGACAACATGCAGAAGGTGACGTCATTACAGAGACAGAGGCTGGAGTGATGCAGCCACTCACAGGAATGCTGGCAGCCACCAGAGCTGGAAGAGGAAAGGAATGGTTCTCCCCTAGAGCCTTCAGAGGGAGCACAGCCCTGCCCACACCTTAATTTTGGCCAATGAAACTGACTGTGAATTTCAGGCATCCAGAACTTGAGCAAATAAATTTCTGTTGCTTTAAGCTACCAAGTTTGAGGTGACTTGTGCCAGCAGTCACAGGAAACTGATAGAAATAAAATTCATGATCCTCAATCTGCAGCTCTACTAGTTTGGATCATGTCAGTAAATGGCATCAGCATCACTCAGAGGATCTGGCCAAAACCTAGAAGTCACGCGAAACACTTCTTTTCCCTCACATCCCACTTCTAATCCAACAGCAAATCCTGCGGAGTCTGCTGCAGAGGCATATTTACCACGCAGCTAAGGAAGCCTAACCTGCCAGGGCGTGGCGTGTTCTCTGCATACTGGGGCAGGGAGCATGGAGAACGGAAGCCGGAACTCCAGCCTCATTCTGCAGGCTCAGGGTACCGCCGGTGGTGGGTGTCCTGGGGTTCCGGACAAGGCCCATGTGCTGCCAGCACAACCTCACATCTGCTCTGTGATCGGGAACAATGGGCCCTGGTGACCTCAAGGAGCAGGTGGACACTGTCTTTAACCCCAATAAGAAGGATCTGAACAAGAGGGACCTCACCATTCCTTGCTCAGCGGCCATTATGACCCAGGCTGCACCACCCTACCCCTAACCCAGGAGCAACCTGGTAGAGAGGGGAGACCTGAGGCAGCTGAGACCAAAGGGCTGGGCTTCTCAAAGGGCCTCAGGCCAGCAGCCCCGGCATCATGTGGGAACTTGGCAGACATGCAGAGTCTCAGGCCCCCCAAACCTACTGAATTGGAAACTCTGGGGGGTGCAGCCCAGCGATCTGTGTTTTAACAAGATCTTCAGGAAATTCTGGTGTGAAGTTTGAGAACCACTCTTCGAAGGGCTTCCTCACAAACAAGAAATAATGATTAGGCAAAATATTATAGGAGAAGTTAGAAATGTTTCACTATCGACAGCCAAATGTGAAGCTAAAAGACAATTTTCTAATATAACAATAAGAAAAAAAATGTGATAATATTGTTGGTGGTCATATGAAAAGGCAATCGAGGAGGACAATGACCCAGCTGTGTCAGGAAGTGAACTAATATTATCTTATTTTTCTATGTTTGTACTGTTTAAAAAATTATAATTTGTTGTGGTTTCTTACTCTAAATATTCACATTAGTAACTTAACTTTGTATTCATAACTTTTTATTCTTTTTCATAAAGAAGCCCCCCTGAACTGTGTAAGTTTCAGGCC